GTATTAGCTTTTTTCAGATTATCTATTTTATTAAACAAAACCATACCCTAAAAGAAATGTGCTGTGGCATAGTATTAAATTCATGCCATTATTCTGGTTATCATTTCTCTGTGAGTTCATAATGATGACACTGTATGCTGTTTCTGCATCATAAAACAGTGCATTGTAAGATGGGAAAATCCTGCATCAAATATGAATTTTCATACACAATAATCTTACTCTCCAAAGAAGATCTTCAAACAGGGTCTTGTCATGCATCCAAATTGTGTCTCACTTTAAAGGTGCAGTGTGCAAGATTTAGTGGCATCTAGCAGTGAGGTGGCAGATTGCAACCACCTGAATACCCCTCCCTCACCCCTCTCTTTCCAAGCATGTAGAACCTACAGTAGAACCTATGGTGGCTGTCTGGTTTTCTGCTGTCACCTGTCCCACTTATATTTTGCTTCTTCATGTTTTCAGTTCTTTGCTATGGTGCCCCCACAATTTTTTCATAGGGGTGGCCAGATGGGGCTGCTGCAAATCTTCAGGTGGCACACCAAAATAGCAATAACTGAATTTCAGAAATTCCATCATGCTGTTATCGTATATAGACTAATTGAAAACAATGTCAATATGAAAGTTAAGGAACTGCATATGGGTATACTTTCTGTATCTCTGTGCATTATGTTCATAAGAGCACAAACCAATACAACAAGCGTGTTGCATCTGATTCAGTTCCCCCTCAAATTCACGTTCCCCTTCACAAATTCCCCAGCAGAGGGCATTTGCTGAGACGAAATCAGCACCAAATAATCCTGCAACTACAGAGTGTAAATAAGTAATGCTTTTTAAATTGCTCAGAGTGCAAATCACTTTCTATGTGGCCGAGCTGGGTTGTGAACACTCTGCCATCATTACCATGTAGTTGTTGTTGAATTATTAGCTCATTTCAGCTTTCATTTAAATCATGAAAATGACATTGTGTCCATCACCTTCATGATTTAAGTGACTCCTGTCCATCATGCAGTGCATTCAGTGCAGAGGCGCAGGCCCACAAGAGAACTCATGAGGCAGACAGCCTCAGTAAAGCTGCTTTTTTCACGATAGAATATTCATTTTCAAAATTTTCTGTTTTTGTTTTTACAATTCAATTATATAATCAAATTTAGAATATTCATTGACAGCCCCAGTGCCTAATGTAATATATCAGATAGAAGCTTATTATGTGGCATATTCTGCTCTCCAGGGGGCCAGCAATTGTATCAGGGTGACCGTGGCCCCCTCTTGCGCACCCTTTTACGGAGCGGATTCACCCTTCCTTGCGTTTTCTTGTGCTAAATAACAAGTATGATCCTCCATTTGTCAAAATGTGGGTTTTCAGACTTCACAAAGTAGTTAACCAGCCCTGGAAGCAACCACTGATTCTTCTTATTTCTACATCTTCCAACCGGTGCTATAGCACCACCAACTTCAAGCTGTCGCTTCAACGTAAACACAGGAAAGGCTCTCTCTAGAGCCAGTTTGTCCGTTCGTACTGTAGAAGCATGGCGGCCTCTTTTGGAAGAGGACTCGCTCCCTATGCAAATATGAAGGGGTCATTCTAAGCTAACAAAAACACAGTGATTCATAGTTACAGATGATCGTGCACTAATAAAAACATGGTTTTGTACACTTCATTCTATTTCTGCTAACAGATACCTTTAAATCTTACACACTGCACCTTTAAGACCAAGTAATTTAAGTAAAATTAAGCAATGGACCTAAAGAACTAAAACCACCCAAGAATTTATTAATAAACTGTCACAATAACAAAACCTAGTATCTCCAATATATTAACCTTAATCTGCATTAGTATAATGAGAATGAAATCCAAGTTAGTTTAGACCTTTTCTGTTGGTCCACTGATCATGAACTGTTTGTATATTGCAATGATGTAAAAATAATAATTATCATTCTAATAATGGGAAAAATAAACATGAATAACTTTTGAGGTTTTGATATGGCAGCCACAAAATGCTCAGTCCTTTAATGTGGATATGAATATGCTTCTAATGTAATATAATAAAATCTGATTACACATAGATCACCTACACATTACACGTATGGATCCCCACTCTATTTGGATAGTCGCCAAAATGTTCAAATTATTAACAAACCATCAGCTGCTTCTCAACAGTGTTAGGGTTACGCGTAGTGTAGTACTAGTACTAGGTTTAGGACCAGGGTTCGAAAAGGTTTTGGGTTGAGGTTAAGGTTCAGATTAGAGGCAGCGTTAGGGTTCAGGAAAATTAAGCTGATTAAAATGTAAATATGTAGATTAATGTTAAAGTTAAATGCAGAATGAACATCTACAAACCATCTAGATTGGACTGTCCATATAAAGTGTTACCATTAATCATTAAACACACTCTGCATTACATAGTTAACTAACTTGCTCTGCAGCACAATCAGCTCCAAGAGCAGGACTGAGAAACTCTGCTCTATTCCAGTGATTTGCACTTGTTTTTAAAGTATGTAAAGCACGCAAAGCAAAATGTGCTGTACCTGCCAGCAGGGGGCAGTGCTGTCCCTGTGGAAGGTTTATTGGCTTGTATTGTGTTGAACTCCTTCTGCCTGCAGATGGCCCACTACAAACAAAGGTATCCACTCAAAAAGGAGGAAATCAGTTTTCCCTTTTAGCCTAAATTGTTGTAACATGAGCTTTTGAATGCTTTTTTCTGATCTCAGCACTCAGCACTGATACTGATTTAGGAAGAACAAGGTTTAGAAGATGCCATAGATGCCAGGTTCTTTTGAGCGATGCCACAGATTTTTGTAAATAACATATGTGAGTGTGAAGACCCTTTACAAAGTTTAAAGAACCTCCAGAAAATCTAAAAGGTTCCTAGAGCTGTACATCCAAGAAAGAGAACCATTTAGAAACCTTTATGTTTAGGAGTGCACACCTGAAAACTCCATCAGAGAACCCACAAGCTGAGCTTGTTCACTAGTTTGCCAAATAGAGTAAACTCAGCTGGGACACATCAACCAAAACTTGAATGTGCTTAGACAAAAGACAGCACTGAAATTTCATTTTAATCTGAAACTGACTTCTTCTTTGTTTGCTTGTTTTCTGTGGAGGCTTGGCCAAAAGGCCTCCACTCACTGTGCCACTTCAGCTGTGTGGGAATGAAGAATGGGGGAACAGTGGAGGGGGAGATGAGCTGATCTCCCTCTGTTGTGCAGATATCACTCCTTATCATTTCATCTGCTCTCAGAAGGTGGGGGGTGCCCACCGAAAGTTGTGTCTTTTTTTTATAAGATCACACCCACTGCTACATGGCCTCCAGTCATGTAAAAAGAGAGGAGAGAGGAAGGACTTGTTAACTTAAGCTGCACTCTACAAAGAGTCTCTGGATCAAGTGCTATCTATGATTTACACCAACTGCAGGAATCCTGTAGGCTTGGATAACAGGGCTCTGCAAAGTAAGAGAACTTTTGATTTGTTGGGTTTGTTCTGGTTGTCCTGTTTTAAGCAAACACTGGTCTAATTATTCATTATTATTTACCCAAAGTATTATTTTCTTATTATCATTTATTACCTATTAACTACTATGAATTACTCTGTAAATACTAAGAACTATTATATAAGGTATGTAGCGAAGAATGAAAATCTGGATCAAAGACATTGTTTTTGCTGGTGATAACAAAAGTATGCTGTAATTTGATATAAATTATTTTTGATGTATAGCTTATTTGAATATGTGGAGAAAATGCAGATCCTAAACTTTTACTTGATATGACATTTGTGTTTGTAAGTAAAAGAGGAGATATTTTATTAGAATTCAAATTTAGGAAAAATTATAGCTGTGTCTATAGTCTTGTTTTGCCATGTTTTTGTCATTCCAAGCTTTTTAGATTCAAAGTTATGGATACAGAATGTAAATTGAATGTAAAAACATAATTTTGTTACACTATGTAATAAATATGTAATTACATAATTATATACAGCATTGTGGAACTGTTTTAGGCACCTGAGAAAATGCTATTTAAATTATATTTAAAAAGCATTATGCTATCTGAACATTACGCATTAATTTGCTCAGAAAAACACTTTTATTACAATAAATTCAAATAATATTAATAAGTAGTATGTATGTAAATAAGTAGTATATCGCTGTTATTGGAAGAAAACTTTGTATCTCCATTTTTATTATTTTTTCAGTTTTTGACACATTTAGATAATGCCTGTTGCCTGTTTACATTATGTGTAAATGTCATGAAGAATGGACCAAAAGAAATGACCCAAAATGACTTGGAAAAAAGTCTGATTTTACATTAAAAGTGAAGTAGGTTTTTTCCTTCTCCTGTAAAGTTACCATTTTGGAGATACTAGGTTTTTTTCTGACAACAGCGATATATGGAAATGTGTTTGTTTATCCATTTCCAAACTTCTCCTTGTGGTAGCCCAGTATTAACAACAGTTATCATCCAGTACCTCATTTGGTTAAGCAAAACCTTTATTATATTAAATCAGGTGTGCTGGTGATGGAACTTAAATCCAAAATATCAAATTCTTTCTAAAAAAAAAAAAGACATAAAATAGTTACATTACAAAACGCTGTATATCCATTTGTAACAATTATGACCAGAAAGAGTTTTTGAAAAGAATAATAGCTTACTTTAATATAAAGCACATTTTTATTTCTCTAATATATCTGGTATTAATTAGAATATAACACTGAAATGTATTCTCTGTGTAAAGCCCAAACCCCAACAACATATATCATGAAAAAAAATTGTGGTTAATAATGTGTTTTGCTATGAAATGTTTCAATTTTTGTTACTTTTGACTGCATTTATGTCTATTTGCACTTATTCTAATGGTGATTGCCAAGATAAATGGGTTTCAATAACGCATATAACTGCCTAAGACTTTTGCATAGTACTATATAAATAGTGTTGCAAAATAAAAGTAACACTTCTTGACTTCTAAGACTTCCAGAAGGAACAATGACTCTTTGCCTCTTTGTTCCAGAAAAATGGCTGCTGACCACTCGCAAGGCTCGTATACACGGCCTTTAGCGTTTGGCCTCTCAATGGACCACCAGCACTCCCCATTCAGAGAGGCTTTGAGTCTACCGCTCCACTTTGAACAGACATACCTGGAGCCAATGTACGCCCACAGGTACAGCGGACACTTCTCCTACCTACCCTTCCCTGGCCACTTGGCCATGTACGACTATTCCTTTGAGCCGGCCTTCATCCGAAAGCGCAACGAGCGAGAGAGGCAGAGGGTGCGGTGTGTGAACGAGGGCTACGCCAGGCTCAGAGAGCACCTGCCCCAAGAGTTCGAGGATAAAAGACTCAGCAAGGTGGAGACACTACGAGCGGCCATCAGCTACATCAAACACCTGCAGAACCTTCTGGAACTCCGTTTGCCTGAGGCCATGGCGGAGCTGTCACCTGGGAGCGAGAGAGGAACTGTGGTCAGTACACAGCTTACAGAGTGCAACAGCGATGGAGAGTCCAAACACAGTCTGAGTGACCATGGGGATGCATGCTTCTGAACAGACTGCACAGTACAGAGGGTGCACATGAGGACATGCTAATGCTAGTACTTCTAATTTATACAGTCCATGATGATTTGGAATATTCTGTTCTTTAAGGTATGAATGGAAAAGGTCATTCTGGAGAGGTTTTGGGATGGCATGCTGTTTGATACTTCTGAAAAAAATGGTATTCTATTGTAAACTACATTCACTGTCCACTTTATGAGAAACCACTACCTTGTGAATGGTGCTGGGATTTTTACACTTGTCGTAGAGAGTAGTCCACCACTCAAATACAGTACTGTGCACAAGTCAGAGGCAACACTTCTTTTATCTATTTTCTGGTCGAAGTGGCTGTTAAGTACAAGTTATTCATTTTGCAGGAGACATTTCTGAGGAGATTAGATATAACAAACAACTTCCGTGAAGGGAAAATCAAATGAAAATATGTGAAAAACAAGAGTTTCCAAACCTGAAGTTAAAAAATTACCACAGCTACCAAAGCCATCAAATAAATAGCACTTAAAGCTGATCTGAAAACATCCACAGGTGTTTCTGTCCAGCCTTCCACTGTAAGACGACAACTCAACTCTATGGGTCTGAAAGAATGTGTAGCTGTCAAAAAGCCAATACAAAAAAAAGGAAATAGACAAAAAATTGGAAATGAAATGAAGCTGCTGGTGTTCTCAAAACAATGGACTGACCACCCCAGAGTCCAGACCTCAACATCATTGAATGTGTTTTGAATTGCTTGGAGCATGAGAGGCAGAAAATGCAATTTCTAAGACTAAAAAGTCAGGTTCCATTGACTTACATTAAAAGTAAAGTAGGTGTTTTTCTTCTCCTATAAAGTTATCATTTTGGAAATATGAGGTTTTCTTCCCACACATATATATATAGGCTTCTGTGTAGGTTTCTGCTAAATGTTTTTTGATTCATTTCCTGGCACTAAAAAAAATTACTTGTACATAACCTGCTGGGGTCTAAAGGCATTGTCTCAATTTTTGCATATCTTCTTAAATTCACCTTTAAAGGCACTTGCATATAACATGATACCCATATGCTTCATATCAAAATGCTCCATTATCTTCATCGCTGCTTTCCAAATCTGCTGCAGCAACTTCAGTGACTGTAAACTGTTTGCACGCCATTTCACTCTAATGTCGACTGAATGAAAAATGAAGGGTTTTCAGTGTGATGGGCCAGTCCTTTCTCAGTTGCACACAAAATGTAGACAGACTCACAAATCCACCTATTAAACATGGTGAGAGGCAGATGATATGTAACTCAATGAAACTGAAAGGTCAGTCTCTACATATTCAGGAAATGTTTGAACCATATTTCTGCGCTGTATTATTGCAACGATAGAGAAACATATACAGAAACATCAAATTTTAAGCGTGAGCGAGTTTGCGGAACCCAGAGAGTTTATGGTCATATCAACAGGAATTAATAAATAAAGGGTGGTCTATGACTTTGGCACAGTACCGTATACCCAGCTAAGAGTATCTCTGCAGGGTTTCTAATATAGTGTCTTGCTGTGCATTGATTTCATAGGAACTATTTCTCTCTCATTTAAGCAACAAACTGGTCATGTTCATTTTATAACAAGCAAGTCATCTTTGCATGTTTTGGCATGTGGGTAAAAAAGTGTGATATGCATTATTTTTTATGGGTCGCTGTGCTAAACAAGTAACGCGCCATTTCACAAACAAGTTCCCGCAAGAGTGCATAACGTAGTGGAATGAATTTTATTACATTATTTGCTAAACCTACTTCCATTACCGAACAATAAGAAGAGCTTAACCTACCTTTTTTTCAGCGACTCGGGTGATTAAACAGAACTTAGCTGAGATGTTCATACCTCCACAGCTTTGAAAGACATTGCAACTGTATTGGTTTAGGCTCAGTTAATTACATGTGCATATAATCCACAACAAAAAAAAGGTCTTTAGTGTCTCACTAAGAAGCTCAAGGCTGATAAATAAAGGTAAAATTAGTGCGGTCAGGGTTCTGCTGCTCATGAACTCATTTAATGAGCTCTTACCCAAAGCTCTATTCACACAGGATTAAATTAGTGCGGTCTGTGGTAATTATTACTGACATGTGTGATTATTACCAACATTGATGTTCCATTCACATAGGATCACTCTTTGAACATTTACAGTACTGTGCAAAAGTCAGAGACCAGCCTTCGATTATTTCATTTCCTGTCTACAGGGCCATTATGTACAAATTTTTCATTTTTCAGGAGATATTTCTGAAAAGATGATACATAAAATAATCCACTTGCAACAGGAAGAATAAAGTTAGAGGAAAATGAGTGAAAAAACAGAAGTTTCCAAAACCGGAATTCATAAAATGAGTGAAAGATAAAGAGAAAAAGGGACTCCAACAGCCAGTACACCAGCAAAACTGCCACCATCAGATAAACTCAAACGCACTCAAAGCTTTCAACTTTGAGAGAGAGGGGAAAATCAAGCTCCTCTCAAATCAAATCGAAAAAAACATCCACAGGTGTTTCTGTCCGCCCTTCCACTGTGAGAAGACAACGCAGTGCTGTGAGCATAAAGGATGTGTAGCTGTCAAGAAGCCCTTACTGATAAAAGGGAATAGACAAAAAGGAAGAAAACTTGCAATTGAAACAAAGGAGTTGCTGGTCTGCTGGACTGACCACTACAAAGGCCGATGAGGTGTTTAGGATAACTTAAATAATAGAAAGCAGAAAATGCAACTAGTGGAAAATAAATAACTTCCACTTAAACGGGAACTCCACTGATTTTTCAAAAATTAAGAGCTTAAGATGTAAACAGTCATTCAGAGTAGTTTTGTGCAAAATGCTTAATTCTAGAGATACTCAGAATTGTAAGTCAGAATTGTCCACAGTGGGAATGAACCAAACAGCCTCTAAAAGCTACACCACAGATAGTTATTACATTAAATGGCTATGAATACTCAGCCTGATGTCTGAGACATTGTTTTACAGTAGTTTTGAATTCTGAGGTTTTGGCTTAAAACATTTTATTCAATTTATTCTAATCTGTTTATGGTGGAGGGATACATTAAGGGTGTTCTAAGACAAAATAGTCCCCAAAGATTTTTTTTTTTTTTGTCAGATTTACCACTACTTTACCATTGTCAACATTACGTATAAAAACCTCAGAAGACTTGTGTATGTTCGTGGTTTTGGATATTAAATAAAATGGCTATATTTGGGTTATAGACATCAGGACCCCTGGTTCCTATCACCACCACTGTAAATAAATCAGAGACAGTAAGTTTCTCTACAAATGAACCATTTCGCATCAAACCACACTGAATGACATTGTTTACATTTCAACCACAGAATTATGCAGACATTTAGAAAAATTGGTGGAATTCCCCTTTAAAGGCCGTTTCGACTCGAAATTCAAATAAATGAAGGGTGGTCTCTGACTTTTTCTGTATTGTTACGTTTTATAGGGGAAAGAATAAAGTGTGACTGCTTTCCACTGCTGATTTATTCAGCATAGAGGTCCCTCACTTCCAACACAAAGGACGTGATAGATTTTCAATGTCAGTGTGTCTATCAGGTTAGTTTGTTGCGTAGACATGGCAATGAAGGGGGCCAAGCACTAATGAGAAGCTGAGCAATAAACTTCAGAATCTTTCTCTACATATGTTTCATATGAGTCCTATTCACTTTTTAACTGTACAACTTTAAGGATTCTTTAAAAACAAACTAAACATAGTACAATGCATGTAAATAGTGTAATGATGTCATATTGGTAATTAGAGAAGGGTAAATGTAGCCACAGCATTGACGGCCAGGCAATCTGGCTTATTAATTCTCAATTAGACTCTTATGGTGCGATGAGCACAGTGTTCTTTTTGCTTCAAAGTCGCAAATAGCCACCATGCCCTCCCACACTCATATTCATCACCTCATTAATGCAGTAATGACAGGGCAGCCTTAAAGCTAGCGATCTTTCATCTCTGTTTTCTATTACAGTCTCATATCCTTGGGCACTTTATGATGTACACCTATTAAAACAGATTTTATTTCTCTTTGTATGAAGTTTGATCTGTATGATTTGTTGTCAGAGTATAGTCTGCTGCATTCATGAGAGCAGGTTTGCTCAACACATTTAATTATGAGCTAGAAAGCAATGGCAGTTCTCAGTCTATCTCTGCACATCACTAACCTCAATCGGATCTAATACAACAGATATAGTAGCTCAGTCTATGAAAAAAGCAGTGCTATGTCATTGCTTGAGCACTAAGCTATTGCAGGTGTCTCTAAATCATTGCAGCTAGAGTGTTCCAGTGTGGTACATTAAAGTCCAGTCCAAGGGTTATTCCGGATCAAGTCACTGCCAGTGTTTCAGAGAGAAGTGAAGGGAGTTCATTAAATTAAAGCTGAAGTTTTAATAAGGTCTCAAATTCTTTAAAGGGAGTTTTTTGAAATATTGACATAATTGAATAGTTAAAATGTAAACGGAGTCATTCTGAGTGGTTGTGAAATTCTAGAGAAACGTAGACAGAATTGTTTACAGTGGTGGTGATAGGAACCAGACATCCACTGAAGCATTTAATGCCTCTAAAAGCTCCCTCATGGAAAGTTATTACATGAAATGGTTATGAATACACTGCCTGATGCCTGAGACATTTTTGACATTGACATTTTGAGCTGATAAGTTTCTCTATAATGCACCTTTTCACATCACTCTAAATGAGTATGTTTAAATCTCAAGCAATGAAATACGGAGAAGTATTGACAAATCAGGGAAATTCCCATTTAAGACATTTCTCACAAATGACTGTATTAGAAATAATGAACAAAATGGAAGTATTGAATATACAGGATAAGCCCTCCATCAATAAAAAAATTGGTGGATTAAAAAAAGTGCTGGATTAAAAAAATCACAAATATAGAAACATGGTGTGTCTGACAGCATTGGTGTTGTGAAACTATTAAGCAAATATTTAAGAAAATTATACAAATGAACCTGGAATTTGTCTTTTTATTAACTAATTGA